TGCGTCTAATTAGTTCAAAATCACTCTTACTAACTCACAAAAACGCATTTTAAAGACATTTTTTACTAAACATGCTAATGAATGTAATTAAATAGTTAATTCCCCAAAAATTATTTTTTTAACATAACCCCTTCATCCACTTACCCAGTGGCGGCTCGTGGGCACTAGCGGCAGTGGGACACACACTGGAAAGGAATCCCGGGATTAGTTTTTCCCTTTGGAAAACAAATTCTCCGCTTAATGAAAATTAAATATATTTTAAAACAAATTAAATATTACAAAATTAAAGACTAACTGCTAGGTACTGCTGCAGTTGTATACTATTTCTTATAGTTGAAGTCCATTCTTCTGGATTGTTGGCTAGCGAAGTGATCGATGACCAGATTATTAAAATTTGGAATGGACCGAATAAGTTTTTTTTTCGATGGATAACATGGCTAACGCGCACAATCTATCTTTGCACATAGTGTTCCTTAAAAATGGTTTAATACGTTCCAGTGTCGAAAAACATCTTTCACTCTCCACTGTGGTCATGGGAATTGTACACAGGATAGTTAGCAGCTCCACAGATTCCGAAAATGTAATTATCAAATTGTTCTCAAAAAATATTTGTAATAACGGTACGGCCCCATTGTGTTGCACAAGGTCATCTCGGGTGTAAAGTATGGACAGTTCGTTTTTGAATTTTAAGCTTTTTACGTTTGGAAATAAACTACACACAGTTTTAACGTCCTCATTTGGAAAACAACCTCGGTAGTCTTTAAATTTTTCACTATCAAATAAACTTGCAAATGTTAGGTGGGTAGTAAAACTAAAACGTTCATTTACCTGCACTACTATTGTATCACAAATTTCCTTACATATCCTTAAATTAGGAATGGGGTCCTTCTTTTCAACAAACTGTCTCTTCTTGCTTGTACTTGGACCTGATTGGGTGTTGTCGTTTAAGTTTAGGTCTTGTGGGTCTTGTTGTGATTGCCATGCTTCATGAATTAGCGTGTCTATATTATTTCTAATATTTTGAATAGCTCCTGCAAAATTTGATATGTTTATCTTAACCTTGAGAGTATCGAGCTGTCTACTCTGCAGTTAATTAAAAAGTACGTATATCGCAATTTGGCATTATTTTGCTGAAGAAAAATAACCAGAACCTAAAATCTGTCTTTCAAAATTTATCAACCCTTTAGTCTCATTAATAGTTTTTTTATCCAACTGTGTTGATAATTTCTTCGAGACTTTATAAACATAAATAGTATTGACACACTTCGATGTAAAATTCCATCGTGTAGGAACATTTTAAAGCATACGACTCTGAAGAAAAGGTGTTTGGCAATTTAAAATCTCCTAACGATAAATTTCTCTTTTATATTTTCAAATTAGAAAAAATATTTATATCTATTTGATAGTTTGTCAACTAAGCCTGGAATTTCCAACGCATATCTTTTTGAGATGAGCAAAATAGAATTTGATCATCCTCGCCAACAATTAGCGAAAATGTACACCATTAAACAGAGATTTGAAATCCTCGAAAAAGTCAGACAAACCCGAAAAAAAAATTAAAATTTTGTCCCATTTATAAATATTATTAATTTTTTTTATCATATTTTTGACTGCTTTATGAAAAAAAAGTTATTTTTCTTTTAGTTTTATTTCTTAACTATTTCATTGGTCCAACTAACGTTTTTTCGTAATCACAATAAATAAATTATTATCATGGTCCAACAAACGCGCTCCTTAAGCCGAAACCGGCATCGCCTTTGTGAGGGAGCTGGTAAAGTTGCCGCTGCGTACATTCGTATCTGGTCTAGATAATCTGTACCATGGGGCATGGGTACAGCACGTCACGATTAGGACAGCGCCCCGCTTGTGACGTTTAATATATGCATTGTTTTTATCTTTTGCTAAGCGATATTGTCGTTGTCCTTGTTTTTCGCGTCATAATGAGAGAGAAAACAGGCACACATTTACTGTGTCCATCTTCCACTTAATTTTGGAATTCTCGGAACGTCGCTCAACGCGCTGAAAATTAGATAAAATAATAATAGGCATTGAGGAAAATATAAAATATGAAAGTTATTTTTGTTTTGTTTATTATACTAGGGCACGTTCCCAAGTGCCCGCCACTGTTAATGACATTAATTGACTTCAATTATTGTCACCGCCTTCAATTAAACAATCTTGTACCAAATTTCATACTATTTTTGAGGTAATCGAATCATTAGTTCCAAAAATACAAATTAAGATTTGAAATAACATTATTGTAGTATGTAGAGCGTTTTTGGGGGTTTACAAAAACATTTTCTTCTTCTGCCACCAAGTGAAGTATCAAATGAAAGTTCTTTGAAGCACCATTTCAAAAATGAATAAAACGTTCGTTTTGCGTTACTTTTTCTATAATACTTTTTCAAAAGAACTTAGAAATTACTGTTCTCCAGATTATTTTCAAAAGTAAAACCAAGAAAAATCTGAAAAAGTCACGAACTTTGAGCATAAGACACTAGTTACAACGCCTACCAAATTATTTATTTTATCAACTCTAATTATTTTTTAAACTTACACTTTTCCTATTTTGTTTATTAAATAATTTACGAGAATAATATATTAAATATTCCCTGCACTATAAATGTTACATTTTAGAAGTTATGAGAAAATAATTATCAGTATCGTTCTTATCTGTAACATGTTGTTCCTCTATTAAAAAACCATGAGAATCTGGCCTATTTTAACAAAACTCATGGGTTATCACCAATAGTTTTAACATTTATCACATTAAACACATTGTTGGATATATATAATTGTGACAAAACAATATCCAGAGCAAATTGCGACATAAATTAAGATGCTTATCTGAATTTTGTTTTAGTTTATTAGTCAGAACCGGTGCAGCAACCATATTTCAGCCCCTAAAAAATTTGGTATAATAAATATTAATATTTTATTGCAACAAAATTATTATTATTATATTCAACAATTTTTAATTTTCCTGCACTATATTTTTGTCAAAATATAACATGAGGTACATTGGTGAAGCAAGGTGAGAAAACAATTTTAGTTTCCAAGGAGGAGATTTCGTTTTTTACAGAAGATATTTCGGTTTTTATTTCGGAAGAAATTGAAGAAATTATAAAAAACGCATCATGCATCCAATCCTTCGGTTTTCATTGCTTCTTTATTCCATTCTGTCAGCTCTGCTTTCTTCTCTGTCGTTTCCAGATCACGATCTTCTAATTCTCGATGCAATTCAGCCACTTTTAAATCATACTGTTTTTTAGCCATTTTGTCCACTATTTATTTATTTATTAAAAATAGTTTATTTATTTAAAACAGTTTATAATTTGTTTTTAAAACGTACTAATTTATTAATTAAATACTTAAGCACTATTATAATTCACAGTTCTATTTTATTTATTACAATTTATCTTTACTTTACAACACTTATATTGAAACTTAACATCTACCGAATAAGTCGAGCTATTTACACCAGAAAAAAACAGTCTAGAAAAAACTAACTCTGAATAAAAGCTCACTCTAGAAGTTCTGGAAATTATCCTCTACACGTCGGACTGTGATAGAAAATATTCGAGTCGGTTTCTAGAGTCTTAAGGCTTCATATCCCGGGTACGGTAGTAAACAAAAAACAGAGTCGGCTCCAGGCGATCTTACGAGAGGCTCTTTTGGTTACAATATGCGGAACCAGTAGAAATTGCGGATGCGACTATCAGACATATTCTTGAATTCATCTAGAATGTTTACCTGATGGGGTACAATAGGCCTAATGAGTTCAATGTTCTACAAGGCTGTTCATATATCTAAAAAGCCCTTGCATCTGCACGGTATTATCTGTTATTATACGAATGAATATGAAGGGCTTTAAACTCATGGTGACCTTTGGTGGAAATGTCATCGACCGTTTCACTGCCACTTATGACTTCACACCCTGGCTCCATCATTAAAGTACCTAGAGTGTCTCTACTCGTATATTATAGTATGGAAGTACTTCCTCTTTGGTTATTACAAAATATTCAGTGAATATAACAAAAAATAAATCATTCTTGTGAATGTTATTACAATAATAAGTACCAAGGCTGCGCCAAAACTATGATACAATGGGAATAATTGTTCAGTTACTAATAGAGAACATGTATCCTGGCAAAAGCATAATGTTTTGATGTTAAACTTTGAGTATATGAATGGATTAAGTGTTATCTTAGATGAAATTTGTAGGTAATACTATAACATTTTAGCGCTGCTTTGTTTAAATATATAAAAATACACGTTTCGAAGAAAATTGACAAATATTCAACAAACATTGATGTATTTAATTAATCTAATTCCCACGTGCTTGATCCACCACTGTCTAAAAATTCTTAGATGTTCTTAGACTGATAGGCAACCAACATTACTCTCATTAGCTTTACTGGTTGCGCACTGTTAAAACAAATTATGGCTATATGTACAACGGCGTGTTAATATGGAAAAATATTTTAATTAAAATTTTATAGACGAACTAGGTTTTCTGAATATAATTTGGGAAACGAATATTTCCAAATAATTAAGGGAAAATTTAAATTAACCATAATATAGTAACTATCTATCTTTAAAATTATTTTTTCAAATTCTTCAAAGCATTAATGTAATATATTTTCTATCAAAACTTAGATATTATGAACATTGATTTTTATTTCTAGGATTATGGGTTACATTCTAATAAAGAATAAGACAAATACTGTATCTAGTTTTAATAATTAGATGCTTGCAGTGAAAGTGACAATGTTACTAAAATTACATATTTAATAGGTATAATACCAATTCAAAAGAAAACATTAAACTGTTCATCATTTTAGAACATTGTAGGAAATTTTCTAAAATTTAATCATCATTTAAAATTCATTTTTCATTTCTAATCAGTTATTAGATTTCTAAATATTTAAAAATATTCGGAATTTGGAATATTAGCCACAACCAAGACATTGCTGATTTTTTTTAGAATTTTTTGTTTACAAAATGTCAGTTGTTTGACATGCGCTAATGAAATGTAAGAAAAAACTATAAAAGAAATTTCGATTTCATATACATATTTAATTTATTCTGCTCAAAATAAAAATCTCTTTGCGAAAAATATTCAAGAAAGCATGTCGCATGCTAATACTGAAACAATTAAAGAATTCTACACAAATGATGTAGTTTATAGACATGATAAGCATAAGAAAATACTTTTTGGAGTTGTAGTAGATAGTTATGAAGCTTCTTCTGATGTAGATGAACGCCATTCGTTACAAAAGGGACAAATTAGAGTATTGTGGAATAATAATTCTAGGCAACGGGTATGGAGACAGAGCAAGGTAGGGTTAATAAACAGAAGTATCATACCTGGTGATATAGTCAGAAGATTTGAAAAGGGGAAAGAAACTCAAAGGGGGTACTGCAAGGAAACCAAGCAAGTAGCTACTGTTCAAATAGTTGGTACTGATAGGGTTATTGAACGTGTCACTACTGAAAGGTTACACAGTGTTAGACCCTATGATGTTGATGATGCTGTCTGCTTGGGTAGTAAATTTGGAAGAATTGAAGTAAGTCCTAATCAAACTATATCACATAAAAAAATAAAGTTCTACTTTATTTTTAAATAAATCATTTTTTTGCAGACTGTGGACCAAATGGTTTCGATGCAATCAAAATGTGGCTCTATAGTAAATGTTTTAACAAGTATTAATCATGATTTAGATGATTATTGGTTGTCAAAAAGGAACAGGATATCGTTTGATGCCTATTATCCTGGGCAGGAATTAGTAAGAATGTTTTATATTTTTCCTGATATAAAAATGTTTTTATATTTTGTAAGCTACATTAATTTTTTTATTAAAAATATAATCTAATACACTTAAATTTTTAGACTAGGTAATTATAATAAATTGAATTGGCAGTATTTACATAGATGTTTTAAGGATTTTCTTATATAAAATTGATTACTTGGTTGTCTGACTGGGATCTGGAGTTGTTGGGGGGGCCCCCACAGGTTTTTTTATGAAGCATTTGTGCATATTTGACCAATAGAAAACAAACAAATTTATCATTTTAAATGTTTTAAAAATATTTATTTTGAGAATTACTTAGATTTTATAAAATTATTAGATAATTAATAAACAATATGAATGTTATTTGATTCACATTTGCTTTATTTATGAAAGTTATGAATTCAGGCTTTTTCACAATACAATAAATGTTAAATGGCTGTTCTATACCTAATAAAATCCTGCACTTATTTAATTATACTTATAAGAATTAAATTAACTTTAATATAAATATTTTATATTATTGTATGATGAATAATGTGAATATAAAATAAACTACCTTAAAGAAAATACTGATAATTTGTTGTAAAAGAAGATCAGTAGAAAAGTTCTGATATCTTTGTAGATATGCGTAGCAAGTAACTTTGAACAACCCCATTGGATCAAGAAATCCAAAACCATGAAAAGAAACATTCAATCTCGCCAAAGATTTACAGTACAAAACGTTGAAGATGTATTAATAGAAATAGCTTGGTATAACAACACTTCTGGATACTCACATATATCAGAAATAAGCCAAGATGATATAAAAAAGTAAGATATTAAAATTTGATAAGCTAGGGTGAATCATCAAGTTAATGACCACTTTAGGCAACAGTGATATATACATATTTGTAAAAATGTTCGTTTTGTTTTTAAAAGAAAAAGCAAGGAATAGCTGGATGAATTTGTTTACTAATTTAACTTTTTTAACAGAAAAATGTAAGCATGATTATTTGTTTAAACTATTCAATAATGGATAACATCTTAGTAAATGACCAGTTCCTTTGAGTAACTGACCAAATAAAATACCAGTTAATGACTACAAAACTTTATTGTCTAAAAGAAAACACAAATACTTAGTTTAAAAAAATTGAAGCCATGTTTCATACTTTTCCATTTCAGGAACATATTAGCATTGGAACATATTAGCATTGATGATTCAATCTTTTTAATGACATCCTCTTCTTCATACCATATTTGGTCATTTTTTTTTGTCATTTTCAATTTTGTGCATTTTTACACATGATTTGCACTTCATATTCTCCTTTTTTTCAGCAATGGTAAATGTAGTTGGTGGCATATATTCATTTTTATCCTGGTTTTCTTGTTCATTTTCCTCTAATGATTCTTCATCTGAAATATTCGAATCACTTGAACTTGAAGAAGATTCTCTTCTCTTTATCTTTTTTGGTCTATTTTCTTTATTTTTGTTTAATTATTTAATCTACGTTTTTTTCCTCTCTAACTTTTTTTCTTTGCTCTTTTAATTCTTCAGCAATTATTTTTTGTTCTTCTTTCTTCTCATGATATTCTTTCCAATATTTGGAAGTTATTGCCAAAGGGGCTCTTTCTTTTTAACACTTTTTTAAAGGCAATTTCCTACCTTTGAATGTGTAAGTGTTCCTTTCAGGAATCTTGGACTTTAAGAGATTTTTTTGAGCTAAAATTTAAATCGAATTGTGTTTCTTTTGACTCATCATTTTCCTCATTTTGATTTTCAATTTGGATGCTTTTATTTTGAGTATTGTCTTGGTTTTCTACATGTTCCATTTCTTCCTCAATTTGTTCACATATATTTTTATTTTTTTGGGTAATCGCCGGGGCACTTTCTTGATTTTCTTTATTTATATAATCTACATTTCTAATTTCTTCAACTTCCTGATAATCATCAGTTTCTGTGTCCATCATTATTTGAACATTATTTTTCATATTTTCTCTTTCGTCTTCTAATGCAATATAATTCTCGCCATTTTCTTCATTGGGGTTGTCTTGATTTTCTGCATATTTTTTCCATAATTTAAATAATTTATTTTCTCACTTTTCTGTATGTTTTTAAGGTTTTTGGGGAAATTTCACTTTCAAGATTTTAAAAATTTCGTTTTATCAATTTACTCTCTACATTATTGTTATCTTCTTTTAGTGCTGCCTGGAGAGTATTCATACATTTTGAAAAATCAACATAATGTGCATTAAATGGAAATATGTCACATGACCTGAAGGCGTTTTGTAGGGTTTCAATTTTACTGGCATTTTTAAATGCTTGTGCAAAAGATACTTTGGTTAGAGATTTTCTTGTTTATATTTCTGACACTGCTTCCTCCAGGATACTTTTAGAGGTCTAAAGATACCAACATCACATGGCTGTAATATGTGTATAGCATTTGGTAATAGACAATATAAAATAATTTTTTTTTTTTCGGCAAAAAGTGGCTAGTTCAGGACTGATATGTGACTTATGTCCATCTAGCAGAAAGAGAACAGGTGATTTTATGTTATTATCTAACAGCCATGGATAGAAATTATTTGCCACATACTTAAAAAATGTAGGACCAACCATCCAACCTGTATCACTATCAGGGATAGAGTTAGCAATGTCTCTAGGTATTCTTTTGTATGGATATATTATAAGTTTTGGAGCTACTTTTCCACTGGCAGAAAAATTTGCTAATACAGTCAGGAACTCTTTTTCTTTTCCGACAGCAACATCATAAAAATTTCTAAAATGTTTTGGCCCTAGCACCTTTCCTGTTTTGGGGCATAATTGCACACCAGTCTCATCAGAATTATAGACCCGATCAGCATCTTCAAGAACATCAACAGCATTTAGAAAGTGTGCAATTCAAAAATATTTTGTAATTTTAAAATACTTGTAATAGAAAAATATTTTTAATCCTAATATGTTTGTATTTTAAAAATTTGCTTGAAATTTTAAAATAATTTATACATATTTCGTATTTAGAATTATTTATACATGTACCTTATATATATAAAAAAAATAAATAAATAAAAAAAAAAACAGTTTTACCCACGCGCAACCAGTAGGTCTTAAGTGGACTAAAATTGTTTAAAAAAAAATTATATCTATTAAATTAAACTAATTACTTATTATATATATATATATATATTTTTTAACTTATGCTCCCTTGTCGAGCAAGGATTTATTAATCCTGTTTATTGTAAAATTGTAACAAAAAATCATTTGTATGTATTTATTTGTATTGTATTTTGGTTTATATTGTATTTTTTTTTTTTAGCTGAATAAAATTATTATTATTATTATTATTATATTATCTTCTTCTATTAAATAACTTTTAAGATCCTGAAACCTCTTTCTGATATCTTGCTCACTAACGCTATCTCTAGCTTTGGAAATAATTTCAGCATTTTTTCCCCACTATTTGGCTTTACATTTAAAAATTCTTTTAGCCATTTATCACCAGGACGGTTGTTGTTGAATGGATTAGTACGCTGGGTTTCTTCCATTGCCTTTTGTACGGCATCTTTCACTTCATCTGGATGCATAGGAAACCCAATTTTTGCTTTTTGGATTATCCAATTCTCCAACATATCTTCTTTCTGAGCAGTCAAGATTCTTGGTGGGCCCTTCTTTCTTACTGAAACATCGGATTTTTCATGCAGTTTATTAATTAAAGTGCTTTTTGGAATTTTAAATTGTTTACTGGCTTTAGTAGCACTCTTTCTTTCTTCCTTCTTGGACTTTTGTCACTGCAGCTTTTAGATCTTCAATGGAATAATTAAATCTTGTATATGTTCGATTGGGTGCTTCTGTCATCTGAAAATAAATGTTACACAATTGCTTTATTGCACAAATAATATTTTAATACATAAACAGCAAAAAGTCATTGACTAGGCTAAATATCCAGTGAATGACCAGAAGAGCATCATAAATCAGTAAATATTGGTCATTTACTGGGACTTGGTCAATAACCAGACAGTTCACCCTACTACCTATTTTTAATTTTTGTTTTCTTCATAAAGTAAAAAAAAATCAATATTTTATTATCTTTCTTAGGCTGAAAGTTCTTGAACATCCTAGTGATACATTTTTGGAGCTAGCAGATCGTAGGTTATTAAAATTATCCACTAGTGATGTCCTTTTAAAGAAAAAAGATTGGACAAAAAAATTAACCTTGATGTATAGACCCGAAGTAGTACCAAAAGTAAGGCACATTGTTAGCTGCACTTCAAAAACGTGAGTATAAAGTGTAGTTAATTATGTAACATTTACATAAAGTGTAAAATTTTATTATAGTCCTAGAATAAGTAGGCTTAGGTCGTCATCGTTGGTTTACGCTCAAAATGAAGAAGTGAATTTTAATTCAGAGGAGGATGAGTGGTGGACAGAAGAATCGGATGAATCTGATAATGATGGTACCACTTCTTCTCGTATCAATAATTCAACTAAAAACAATAAAAGGCATTTCCCACCTAAATCTCAGGATCTGGTACCTGGCAACACATTAGCTGTAGAGGTTAGACTAATCATATTTTTTATTTTTTAAAACTTTGAATGAAAAAAAATGAACATATATTTATTGAAATCGGTAACCCTAATATACAAACAATTTCAAAATAACACGCCATTAAATAATCATCTGCAAATATATTTATAAAATCACAATCAACAAAGAGGTTTAAATCATTTATATACAAGATAAATAAAAGTGGCCCCAGAACGCTACCTTGGGATACACCAATGTTAATATCCTTTTCAGCAGATATATTATTATTAACTTTTACTTTTTGCTTTCTTCCAAATAAGTAATTAGTAAACCAATTCAAAACACAACCATTAATGCCAAAACGTTACATTACTAGTTTGATACATTGTTTACCAATTGACAGTCCTAAATACTCGCAGAGATGCACCCGACAAATTAAATGTATAAATTATTAAAAATATCAATTTTTTAATTCAGGTAATATGCGTAGAATCTAAAGTAAACGTAGTATGGCAAGACGGTTCTGAAGAAAAAGATATACCATCTACCCAACTGTATTATTCGATATCTTTAGATGATCACGAATTTTTTCCCGGAGAATGGGTCATTAATGACAGCAAGCCAGAAACGGACAGTTACGGCGTCGTCCAAAGTGTCAATTATTTGGAAAGAACTGCCAGTGTATGTAAAAAAAATTCTAAGTAGAAAACTTCACTAATGTAGCCATCTTATCCTTTATAAGGGAAGAAAACTCCAAAGTCATTAACCACAGAATTTAATTTTGTTTAAACAGCAACTAGTTTCGGCCTCTGTGGGCTATCATCAAGCCTGTCATATATTTTTAGGCTTCATGATAGCCTGTAGAGGCTGAAACTAGTCGCCGTTTAAACAGAAATAAAATTCTTTGAGTTTTGTTTCCCTGTAATTTTATTTGTATATATTTTTAGATTAAATGGTTTACTTACTCTGAAACTCAGAAAAAACCTACAGAATTAGCAATAAATGAAATGAGTGTTTACGATTTGAAGAAACATTCGAAATTTGTGTTCCGTCCTCGTAGTATAGTTAAATCAAAAGCTGTTGAAGAAGAGAAAACGGGAAAAGTGATAGACAGTTGCATAGAGGTAAGAAATTCAAATTTAAAATCATAATTATCAACATTGTAATATTCTAATTCACAAAGCGTATTTAAATTTGCCCACATGTAGATCTTTAAAAATATCTAATACTATTTACATATTTTCTTAAATTTTGGGCATAGTCTGAACATCTGCAGGGTACTTTATAGGGCGTCGTTTTTCTACTTTATGGAGTATATCTGTTATTTACGCTTGGAAACGAAAATTCTTCAAATAAAAGTTGCTTGTAATGTTATTTTCTATAATTTTTATCGTGACATAATTTTCCTATAATGGTCCGTATTCGAGAAATTTGACAAAAAGTGCAAATTTCGAATTTTTAAGAAAATAATATAAGTAAAAGTTGTTTGTGATGCCTGACCTGCTTTGTTCAATGAAGAAAAACTTTAAAGGTTCATCATATGTTTTACATGAAAAACTTACAGTCAGAAACCTTGATTTATGTAAAAATACCAAACAAGTTTTCAAAAATGTGACATGGACATACAGTATGTCCCCCTAAGTTGGAATCATAGGGAATACTTTTTTATTCTTAATTTTAGGAAAAAAGTTATTCTTCATAAAAAGTTCTGCATTATCTAAAACCTAGAACACAGTCATCAAATATCAATTTTTTTCAGTGGTATACGAGGTTTGTCAAAAAATATGAATTTTGTTCAAGAGTAAAGTACATTTATTTTTGACAAAATCGAAAGTTTTCATTAAGAAAAGTTGATTAGAATTTAAAATTACATTCAAATATGCAATTACACCGATCTATCTGAAAAAAGAGATTTTCTTATTTAATATTTAATAAGTGATATGTTTTAATAGGACTATTTTTTCTTTATTACTTTATTCTATAAATATTGTTTGATAATTATTTTTGTCATTCTTATTTAATTATTCTCTTTTGTGTTCAAACCATTATTTTATAAATTAATACGAATGTATTTTAATTTATTTTTGTAATGCGTATTAGGGATATGTAAAAGTGCAATGGCTGGACGGTACTGAAGAGAACTGTTGGCCTCAAGATATCGAATTCATTCCAGAAACGGCCGATTACGATTTTTCGGACGAAGACTCTTCGGACGACGACGCCGGAGATTGCGTATCTTGGGAAACGGAAAGCATAGAATCGTACGCGGGTGATATGACGGACGAAACTGTATTACAACCTTTGGCGGCGAGGTTGGACTTTATCCGCAGTAGGATTATCTATTTGAAAGACGCCTTTAGACAACACACGCACATTGTGGACCCTTACAAGGAAACTGTTATAGTAAGTGATGCAATAAAAGTCCAGATTATAAATAATACGTTTAGCGGTCGTTAAGTGTCCCTTTATCACTTAAAAGATAAATCCAATCTCTCCAATGAGATTTTTTTTTTTTTTAGTTCGTTAAAGATCTTCTGTTAATATATGAAAACTCGAGCTACTTAGACAAGCTTCTCGGCACGTCGTTCTTTAGTCTACAGAGTAAACATTTTCAAGTTTTGTTACTTCGTGCGAAGCAAAAATTGAAAACTCTCGGCGTCGAAGTGAAAGGAAGGCTCTTTTCCGAAGACAATATTAGTCCGTCCATATCGAAAATTAAGATCGCCGAAAAGGAAAATATCAACAAAATGATCAAGTTGGAAAACAAAATGAATGCACAAATCGTCGAAAAAAAGGAAGGAAGAGAGTCCACCGGTAAGTTCCAAATAAAAAGGATATACGGAGTGTGATTAGGGGCAATTATTATTTTTTTTTTTTTTCGATTAATCAAATATTTAGATTAATCGATTATTTAAATAATGTTTTGTATATTATATATTTGCGTATCTTTCAGCACCAGCAACCCCGCTAACTCCCGATAGCCCAGATAATTCCTGCTCATCCCAGGACAATCTCTGCATTGAACTTCTTTCTATGTTGAAAGTTCGCATGGATTTGGCGTACGCGGAAATAATCAGTCGAATAGGAGGTAGCCAAGCTTTTACGGTTGTAACGAAAGCTTCAGATAAGATACCTACACCTTGTAGTTCGACGCCATTACCGAGCGTTCCCACAACACCGGAGGACTCATTTTTATCGACGAGTCCTTTGAAATTGAACTTGATGGGCAAAGGTCAGGACGAAAACGAACCTTTTATGATTGTAGAGGATGCTCCTCCTACACATCATTATTATGCTAGTCAACTTGAATTTACTGATTTTCAAAGGTAAACAACGTTTTTTTTTTTAGCTGAAACATTTAATAATAAGTGTTGATTGTCCTTTTTAACCGAATTCAAAAAAAGGAGGAGGTTCTCAATTCGTCGCAATATTTTTTTTCTTTTTATGTATGTTCAGCGATAATTCTTTAACACGGTGTCCGATTTCGATGATTCTTTTTTTGTTAGAAAGGGGGAACTTCAGGGGTGGTCCCATATAAATTTGGTCAAAATCTAATAATTGGGTCCATGAGAAAATCCTCAAACTCTTCATTTTTTATGAATGTTTAGCGATAATGCTTTACCACCTTGTCCGATTTATATGATTCTTTTTTTGTTAGTAAGGGGGTACCTCAGGGGTGGTCCCATAAAGATTTGATTAAGATGTGGTGATGGCATCTGCACGTTTTTCAAGTCGCTTATTTTTAAATTTTTAATTTCTAATACTTGTAATATAATTAATTGCTTAAATATCAATGAAAAGCATAAAATAAACAAACCTTGTGGGTAAAATTTATTACTCTGGAGTGAGACATGTACAATATGTAAATACCAAGTTGTATAACACCAAATAAAATAAAAAATATAAGAAAATATATAAAGTGAAAACGATTGATGTTTATTTAGCTGAAATATTTAATAATAAGTGTTTATTGTCCTTTTTTGATATTTAATTAATAATTCTTTACAGCATTCTTTGTAAAATTAGATCTATTTTAGGTGTCAAAGTTTTCAGTGATGTCTATATTATTAATTTGCAGGTTTGTAAAAGCAGTTGAAAAAGAATATAGAAGTCTTAAAGATTCGCTACCTCCTGGCGTTTGGGTTAGATGTTACGCCGATCGCCTCGATCTTTTATCGGTCATGATTAAAGGTCCGGCCAAGACTCCATATGAAGATGGCCTATTTCTTTTTGATATACAATTTAGTAACGATTATCCCAGGTAAACAATCTTGAGACATTAATATGCAAATATTAGAATTAAAGAGTCCAAAGCAAAAATGATGAAGGTCATTAAAAATTTCAACACCAAATTACGTTTGTAGAAATATTAAGAAAAATGAGTTATTGGCCATTTATTAATTTGACGTTGATTTAAAATGAATTTATTATTTCCATTGCCAATATGTTCATTCTTCAATTGAATAGTAACTCCAACTTTCTTTTTATATGCTGAAGAGACTTTCTTCAATTGATTATCATTTAAATTCAACTCCATTTATAAGATAAAAAATTGTATATATTTAATTATTTTAAACCCATTCTAAAAAATCTTTTAAATTTCATAGCATTCGTTGTTACCCAAGCAGGTATCTTTTCATTTAACGTAGAATTTGGATCTAAAACTCGTTCCCAAGCTTTATTTTCAAGAATATCATCAGCTTTATGTCTTTTCTTAACATTTTTATGATCTCTGTAAAATACGTCATGCTTCATCTAACTTATCAACAGGTTGATCACCTCTAACTAACCTTTCATTCAATTTTGTATCAGGACCTAGTATGGTAAATTATTTATAAAATCATTTAATAATCCTGATCCTTTAATTACTTTCTTAGGTAAACTAGATACATGAGAAATTAAATATTCAATAAATAGGAGTATCAATAATATTTTCCATTTCTCTAGCAATTAAATGCACAACTCCTAATTTTTCGTTGTGAAAATTATTATTGTAGTTCATTGAGATTGTTTATATATTTATATTCGATTTGATTTTCTGTATATTTCTTTATTCCATATCCTCTTTTAGGAGTTTCACCCAAATTTTGGTCATAATCCCAAGATAAAGACCTATCTCTAAAAGGTGTTATTGGTAAATTAGATTTTAATTCAACTCATATAAATTTGATTAAGTTTTGATATTTATTACCTGTATTTGAATGAACTTTTCCTGTTGATTTATCATAATTTTAATATAGTATCAAACAAAATTATTTTATAGTTATTGTAGTCATCTTTAGTATACATTTATTGCATATATCTTTTTTGCTGTGTTGCCCGTTTTGGTGTGTACACCATTTTTTGTTTTTGAAATAACTCTGTGACTATGAAATTTACTGCTTTAGACTACAAACTTTCAGCTATTTCATCGGGTATTTAACTTATTTTTGCTGTTAGCTCTTCAACTTTACATTTTTTTTTTAATCGAAATTGTTCTGTTAATATTTTAGGTCTCCACCTTTAGTCCACTATATAAGCTACAGCTCGGAACGACTAAATCCTAATTTATACGTAGAGGGTAAAGTTTGCGTATCGTTGCTAGGTACCTGGATGGGTAGGGGTACGGAAGTTTGGGGGCCAAACAGTACCCTGTTACAGCTCATAGTGTCTATTCAGGGGTTAATTCTAGTTTCGGAGCCTTATTACAACGAAGCTGGATACGACAAGCAAACGGATACGCAACAAGGTCAGTATATGGTTAAATATTTAAAATAAACAAAAATTATATGTTTGAATTTCTTGTTTTATATTATTTCTTTTTACAAAAGGCTATTTAAATACTTAATGTTTATTAGAGTGGAAATAATTGGAAGAACGCTATTGTAACTTGACAAGTTATTTATAGTACTTGACATTATGAGCCCGTTACATACATTGTTGCAACTTTAGGTGACTTCTTTTCTCGTGAAATGGAGTCTAACTGTGTGTTCCCTCATACAAACGGGGTGTTTATACTAAAAGTTTTCCTTTATGCTGAATAAAGACTTTACCGTCATGTATTAATCATTGAATTTACGTATCATCATCTATAATCATAATTCATATCTAAAGACTTGAGATTAGGGCGATATTCGTATTGGAAATTAAAAATTGCAAAACAATATTTAATTTTTTTTTTTTTAGGTTACGAAAACTCCCGGACCTATAACGAACTTGTGATCCTTAAACTAATCCAATCGATGAAGGAGATGCTTCGTTCGCCGCCTGATATGTTCAAGAGCGAAATCCACACACATTTCGCCGAAAACGGACGCAACTTGTGCCGCAGGCTTCGCAGCTACTGCCAGGATTCCGAACCGATCCCGCCGGAATTTCCGCTGTTGCCCGTGAGCAAAGGATTGAAGCTGTCACTTACAGCGTCGTTGACGGCTTTCGAAGATGTATTAATTAAAATTGGTGATAAGAGTGAAGTTGCAAATGCAAACGAAGGTAATTCGACATTGTAACTTTACTCATTGCGTATTTATTGTTTTTTTTTTTATTAGCTGGTGGAAAGGAACGTCGAAAAAATTATTATTTAACTTTGTTATTACAGAATTGAATCTCTAAGGGTCGGTCTTTTCACCTTCAGATAAAGTTCCAGATAACTAACTGACGGATATATTATCTGAGAGTTACTATCTGTCAGATAATTAATTTTCTGTTTTTCCAAGTAAATAATATGTAGGTAAGTATCCAGAAGTTTTAAACCTTATGTGGTTTATCCATCAGCGAATTTCAAGTAAGATAAGTTATTATTTAGAAGTTAGGTTTGTCCAGAAGTGAAAACATTACTTTTTAAGTTACTTGGGAGATAGAAATTACCTGACACTTTATCTGAAGGTGAAAAGACCGATCCTTAAGCTCAAATTCACTGGATATAAAATATTTAAAAGTTTAACACTAAGGGTGGCATTCTCGAACAATCCTTAAATGGTTTCTTCATAATAGTTTTTCGAAAATGGTTCACCCCTTGATCAAATATCTTTAGCTTTAAGGATTTTGTCCTAATTTCATGTTTATATATTAATACTTCTCCACCAGCCTTTATTTATTGTTTATTCATATAGGTATATGAAAATTATTTAGATAAACAGCTAGGGTTGTAATATTTTTTTGCACATGTTACGAACTGAGCGAGTTCATGCAATGGAATAAAAATAACTTATCTACGTTTACACAGCGGTAAATTGAATGTCTCGTATCCAAGTTACGAAGTATTAAGAACTTTTTTTTAAATAAGGCGAATGTTTTTATATTTTTATACTATGTATACTAAAAATAATCAAAATTTATAGCAATAAAAGTAAAAATATAAAATTAGAAACAACGGAGGGAAGAAGAAAATATTTTTTGAATGAAAACGAAAAAAGGATTTTTACTTCTAACTTTAAATATAAAAGCATCTTTTATTAAAACGTTAACAAAGTTGTGTAAATGTAGACTTTTGTTTAATTTATTTAGTATATATAGCATTTTTATTCCATTTTTGAACCCGCTAATTCAGAAAACTATGCAGATTATTAATGGCGTCTGTTCAAAAAAAAAAACCTAATTTAAATTAGAATTGTTTTTTGCTTTTCTAACTTCAAAACTAATAGTATTTATATACAAAATATTATTTAAATAATCGGATCAGAAATTTCAATAATCTAACATAAAATTACTTATTTTTATTTATATATAGGATTCCCTCAAATGTCCTGATGAGATGTCCCCATTGAAAATACCTGTACTGGCTGGCACATCTCCACAATTCTATATCTTTCAGTACGTGAACCAACTTATCAAAACAATATTACTTAATTTTGATGTAAATAAATCCCTAGGTATTTAACAATCGAGGTCTGTTTTTAATATAGATGTAAGAGTATTTTTCATTTTTCACGTTTTCATTTGAAAAGATGTTCCTGGAGATTTGAGAAGGCAACTATAGAATTTTCATGGATTCCAAAGTAGCAATAGTGGTTCAAACTGTGAAGTTTTATTACTTGTTTTAGTCCTAAAATCAAATGCCTGACAAGTATTATGTTAGTAATGTCAGCAAAGATAAGGTTGGAAAATATACAAATTCCTTTTAGTTCGTTGTATATTTAACTGCATAAACATTGGTGAATTTTTAATTTATTCTATTGGCAGCACCTAATTACTGAGTTATATCATCTTAAACTTATGGTATCCCTAGAATAAAAAATTACTAATGTAAATTGATTTTTTTTATCTAACTTTTTCTTCGTTACACTCAACTAATTTTCCCTTGAAAAGCATTGGATAAATGGTAGATTTATTATTAGAAATCAATTTATTTTCCATCGAAATTCTAATAGTATTAATTTTAATTTTTAAGCAGACGCCATGAACTCTCCAATATTCTAACTGTGATTAATTCAATTTTCAACAGGTAAATTTCAAAACCTTTAAAAAATCATATTTAATATTTATTTTTTTTAGGTTTAAGTTATTTATTCCTATAAAATGTTATCAACAAATAGTGAACTGGCTTCGAGATTATATTTTATTATTTTGTTTCTAAGATCTAGTATGACAAATTTGTGATTACTGGTCATTTAAAGGTGAAAAATAAATTAAATAATGTTGTATTTTTATAACAAAAAAACTTTCCTTTCCTTCATTATTTTCCATTTTAGGTAATAGAATGTAAATTCTAACTTTTTGGTATATTCACTTATTTCAAACAATACAATATTATTATTCAGTGATGTTAAATTGTCCACGATCCATTCTGAAATAACAAATACATTTTAAAATGACATCATATCTGTCATTTGAGCATTGCTGCCATTTTTAAATTTTTAAGCAACATTAATGCATAAAGGAAGTTTGGTATGCCAGTACATACAGATTTGAAAAACTTCTATGTATATATTTTTGAGGTCATTTATAAAGTGTAAATGAAAATATATTTCAGAGGCCGAGAATGTAATTCAGAAGCAAGAAATTGGAGATCAAGCATGAGTTTTGTTATTAATGTTTTTGAAATATTCCTGAACCGATGTGAAATTGCTTGTCCCAATCCTGATACAAGAGAAAATGAGAAAAAAAAAACGAGTCGACAGGACGATATTTTTACAGTAATTTTGGTGATTTAAAAATTATTGTAATCGGACTTGTAATTCCATTTAACTGTTAAGTTGTATTTTTTTAAACATTGGGTAGGGGAAAGGTATATAAAAGTTTATTAATATTGTTTGTAATTTTCTCTGATTTGGAAACAAACCTAAGCTTCAACAATCATATACAAATACAATATTATTAGATAAATAATAATAAAGATGAATATTTTTTTATTGATAGTAAATATATTATCTTCAAAAGCAAAAGGTCCTATGTTGAAATTTTTGAGGAAATGTGTATTAAATTTGACTTTTTACATCTAGATTTGAAATGAGTCATATTTCTCATTATCTTCGTTGAATTTATTCATCTACTGAACTCTATTTTTTCGAGTTGTAAGTCTGAAAAATCGATTTTTCCAAGTTCTACGTAGGAATAATCCATTTTTCCGAGTTCTAAATCGGAATTATCTATTTTTCCGAGTTATATAAGTCTGAAAAATCTATTTTTTCAAGTTCTAAGCCGGAATAATCATATTTTTCGAGTTTTAAGTCTGGAAAATCAATTTTTCCGAATTCTAGGTCGGAATAATCATTTTTTTTTCCGAGTTCTAAATCAGTCTTTCTCATGGTCTTATTGATTTTGGAAAAAATCTTATCTTTTATATTCTCTAGCCTGATTTCGTCTGCATAGCGCTATACTAAGCTCTATCTATAGTTTGGAGTATAGTATTTCGAATTGCCTATATTAATATCGGCAGATTAAATGTTTTTCGTTTCTCCTGTATAATCACTGATACTGGGGTCTATTCTGTAACAATTCCTTTATAGATTTTAAAAATATTTTTCGGAAAATAAATAAAATAGTAGATTTCAAGATAAATATATTTTGTTGTATCTAAGTTTATCATCAACTCTTTTTCGTTTTTAGTAGTTCTTGGTGAGCAAGATATTCTTTACTTTAAATGTACCCATGTTGGTATATTTTGGTTTTGAATTGAAAATTGAGGGTTCAAAATTAGTTCAATTGTATCATAAATGCGATGTTGTCAAGTGTTCTCCTGTCATTTTTAAAGGACCCCTTTGAACTAAATAATTTTTAACAGGCCTCTAAAATTTGTGTATACAGAATACCATTTTTAGTTAAAAAAATTAACGGGCCGCTGAAATTTAAATTTTTAAAGGCCTCTTAATTTTAACGGATGTTTTACAGAATAGACTCTACTAAGCCGACGATTTGTCAAAAGCGTTACTTTTTATTTCTAAGCGAATATGGATTAAAAAAAACATCGATGCGCCTGACAGAAACGCAAACATTTATTTTACATGTTTAGAGACAGATCAGAGACAATTTGTAAGTGATTTTCACATTACAAGGCGAATTAATTAAATTTTAATGTATCCCTTTTACTTTTTTGGATACGCCCATGTGAACTCCGAAATGTCAAAAATTATCAGTGACTCAGAACATAAATTTCATTCATGGAGGGCACGCCTTTATTCTTACGAATTATGTTCTATGCGAGTAAACTGACAACTGACGTAAAATTTATAAACTCCTTTAAAAATAAATAGAATTGTGTTTACATTTACGCATTTTTATCCCGTTCTACTTTTCCTATTTAGAATCAAAATGATCAATTTGTACTTTAAAAATGGAGCCATACTTTTATATAACGTTAATGATTGGTCAACGCTACGGGAACAATTCAGAATTGTTGGAGAAATCGTTGGAAATTCGCTACAAGTGCCATCATTACCCATAAAAATTTCACCAGAAGAAGCCTGTTTATTGGTTGACAAAAACATAGTGACCATTCAGGAATCCCCAAAAGAAATTACAAAGACTGATGCAGAAAAACGAAAGTTAGAACAATACGAAACAGAATTACTGGATGCACAAACTATGGAGTATAAGCGAGCTAGGAGAGATCAACTTGAGACTGTAGCAGATCAAATAATGGTTAAACAAAACAATGATAAGACTAGAGAAGAAATTATTAGCGAAGAACTTGCAAAACTTACTGCAGTGACTAGAGATAATATGATTTGGCCTACAAATCTTTCAGCATCGACAAGTGCTTATGAAAATTTAAAACCTGTTGATATAAATGATATTTTAAAACTAACAACCCCAGTCAAAAAAGCTGTCTATTCAGATTTATGGCACAAAGGTTACTATGTTACACAAGGAGATAAGTTTGGCGGTCACTTTTTAGCTTATGCTGGGGACCCAGTCTGTCATCATGCTTTGTTTATAGTGCGTTGTAAAGATGAATCAGAACGTATTTTTTCCATGGATTTAATCGGATTTGGTAGACTTGGATCATCTGTGAAGAAAAAAAGTGTTTGGGCATCTCTGCAAGATAACAAAGTTTCTTACATTAGCATGTCTTGGTTGGCTTGATGAACATACAAATTTTGTTGTAGTTGGAGGTAAATTTCGGCATTTTTATACCTATCTACTTATTTTTTATTGAGTTATTCATCATATATATCATGGGCTTACTGCCAAAAGTGACCAAGTCAAATTTTATATGATTGAGTTAATAGGACCAAATCTCTTGGTAAAGTCAGATCTACCAATAAAAAATGGCCAAGTCATATTTATTAAGTTTATTAAGTTCTTTCAGGCAGTATAAATATCACTTGAGTGACTTTTTTTTGTAGATCTGTCTTTAATAAGTGACTCGGTCATATTAACTCAAATCACATAAAATTTGACTTGGTCACTTTTGGCAGTAAGCCCATGATATGTGTTATTCACAATTTTTGTCATTACATTAGCATTATTAAGTAGAAATTACAACTAAAATTAATCAAGTTCAAATATATTGGTTTCTATTAATCTTATTTTCTTACATTGGTTTTTATTATTAAGTTTTTTGGAATGAAAATATTTTATAGCAGTTAGTTTAGCTATAAGTATACATTTTCAAAATTATTTTACCAGTTTTAGTTATATTAATTATTGTCCTATAATGATTTTAAGATAAATATATTTATATAATATTTTTGTATTAGTGTGCCATAATAAAGATAGATTTTTATAAAGACATAAATGTGTGACATCTTCAGTTTTCTTGTTTCATACTTAATTGTACACAAAATTTATTTCTCAAGTTGTATTTTAAAACCACAAAAAGCATCAAAGGAAAATACCATGTATGATAACGTTTTTCTAGTATATTTTCTATCTTTATGACAATTGTGAGTTAAATTAGATTAAACAAGTTATTTGGCTGGTTTTTATTGTGTTTTATTGGCTGGATTAAACATTTTTAATCCCAAGGGAGTAAAAGTGGCACTGAGGTTAAAAGTGGAACAATTCAGTTATACATTAGTGTTTAATGTGACTTTGCGTGTATTTCTGGTAAAGTTTTCACACATAACGGTTGTAAATTTGCGAATATTTTTATTGTTTTGAATTAATATTTTATATTTCATTTAAAATAAAATCAGTTTCCTAAATGCTCAAAGTAACTTGAAATTGCTAATACTAGTTCAAATACTTCTAAGTAAATATAATTTCAATTAAAAATATTGAGAATTTTGTTACATTATTGCTTTAAAACATTATGTCATGCACAGTGGCGGTTTGCCCGTATATTTTATGTTTTTCTCAATGCCTATTATTATTTTATCTAATATTCAGCGCAAAACGCGTTGACACGACACTGGACGACCGGGTGTTGAGCGACGTTCCGAGAATTCCAAAATTAAGTGGAAGATTGGCACAGGGCACAGTAAATGCGTGCCTCTGTTTTTTTCTCTCTCATTATGATACGAAAAACAACAATATCGCTTAGCAAGAGATGTACGCAGGGGCATCTTTACCTGCTCCCTCACAAAGGCGATGCCGGTTTCGGCTTAAGGTGCGCGTTTGTTGGACCATGATAATAATTTATTTATTGTGATTACGAAAAAACGTTAGTTGGACCATTGAAATAGTTAAGAAATAAAACTACAAAGTAAAATAACTTTTTTTTTATATATAAAGCAGTCAAAAATATGATGAAAAAAAAATCAATAATATTTATAATTTTGTCTGACTTTTCGAGGATTTCAAATCTCTGCATATTTAAGAGTATAAAAAATTATGAGTCTCATAAATAATTTAATGGTGTACATTTTCGCAAATTGTTGGCAAGGATGACCAAATTCTATTTTGCTCATATCAAACAGGTATGCGTTGTAAATTCCAGGCTTAGACAAACTATCAAATTTTTTAAAAATATACTTAACATTTTAATAGTCGGTCAGCTAATTTGCGTTTTGTCTTTTTTACTTTCAACCTTTGTTTTAGATTTTGGATGTCAAAAGCAAAAAAAATAATTTCTATGTCAAGAAAAATGTAGAAAAGCTCTTATAGCCATAAAAAATGAATATAATTAAGGAGGCTGACATCTGAGTAAAAATATAGTCCCAGAACTGAAACCCACTAGCAAAACGCGCTTTTTTTAATTAAATTTAATTATTTTTGTTTCACTGTAGGTAAATAATATAATAATAAATATATTAGAATTAAATCAATATAAAATTGTGTTAAATACCACTTTTTATTGGCTGACAACTGGTAAAGTTAGGTACCGACTTTATTATTAATATTTTAGAGCAATTTGAAGTCGGTCGTCCTGATATTTCTCCTTATTTTTTGTGTTCCCCGTATACTCCTATTACTACCGCAACTGAAAATAGATTCCGCTACCCATTACACCGGCCGTTACTAGGCATACCGGGGGTCAAGTCGGAAAGCAGCGGAGCACCAATATTAGCCGACGTTGTCAAATCTAAAAAAACTTATTCAATACTGAGACATTTCTACTAATATTCGTATTCTTCAAATTTAATTAAGAGTGGTAGAACTATTAATTATAATTATAATTAATTATAATGGTAGAAAGTGGTATAAATATATTAATTTGGAATAAAAAGAGTTATTACATGTTAAAGGAAACAAAAATTAATCCAAGAACTTCTTAGTTTTGAAAGCCAGTTAATAAAGTTAGGGTAAAACCCGATAATTTAAATATTTTTAATTCCATGAATTTAAGACAGTAATTTCAATTATATTTTCTATTTATAAATATTTTATTGTTTATTAAATAAATATTCATGGAATATAATTTTATGCCTTCTATTTACTGTTTAGGTATAGTTAAAGAAATAGCAAGAGCATAATGTGGAGAGTTCAGCTTTAACATTAGTAGAGGAGCTATCAATAAATTGAGTACACTTTTGTATATTTTTATTATTTCAGTACCTATTTTGATATTTTTTTAATTATTGAACTAATTGTAGGGGAGATCGATGAAATTCATAGAACGTAGACATGGATTGTTTATAATTGTAAATCGGCATTGACAACAAGATTCTATAGCTAACGAAAAGCTTTCTTAATACCAGTTATTACCAGTTTTATGTATTTTTCTCGTTGAAACTATTATAGTTGTATATAGTGCTTTTCAGAAGGTACGCAATTTATTTTAAACTGTTAATGCTGCAGCCGATGCGAGAGCTGTGTGCGTAATAATAATCTGAATGAGTGCATTAAAAAAGGGCCTAATTATTAATGAATGCATTAGTCTAGTTTGAATAAAAGAGGAGTGCAGTACAAGTGGGAATTTACCGTCAGATTCCATAGGCGTACTATGCAAAATAAGTTTCTATCTTAGACTAAGATAATAAAGAGAGGACGCGTAGTATTCTTGGCCGATATTATTTTGGTTCTTATATATAGCATTTCTGTGACACTAAAGTTTTTGTTCGTATTTATTTCTGATTTTTGAATTAAACGACATTTTTTAATAATTGGTTTATTGTGTGGCAAGTGCGGCAAGAAAGAAGCAGATATTGCGTTTCACAGGTAAATGATAAACAACAGTTTTTACTTTATATATTTTCTTATATTTTTCATTTTATTTGGTGTTATACAACTTGGTATTTACATATTGCACATGTCATACTCCGGAGTAATACATTTTACCCGCCAAGTTTATTTTATGCTTTTCATTGATATTTAGGCAAATTATGATATTAAAATGGCCAAACAAGTAATTTTTTCCAGTGGCGTGTCGTACAATTCTAAATATTAACTTTTATTAGATTCTAATTTACTTTTGATTTTTATTTAATTGCAGCAATGTTTATTTGTTGTTTTGTTTTAGATTTTTTGTGGATCCAGCAAAAAATCTTTGGATTTAGGCAACGAAAATTGCAAATTTGATGCCTAGGCGTATTAGAGATTGTGTTTATTTCGAAAGACATTTTTTTTACGGGACGGACTGTAAAAGACGTTTACTAAATGGAGCAGTTCCCACTATATTTCCCGAATTCCCTAATTACATGCAGCCGAAGAAGGTGCGTGTACTAATAAACATAATTAGACATATATATTTTTTAATTACTTTTCATTATTATGAATTTAGCAACCCTTTTGTGTATAATTCAAAACATTGCATGCGATTGTTCTATATTTCGCCGGTAAAAATTTAAAATTATTCTATGATACGCCACTGGCAGATAAACATTACCGCGAAATTGTCGAAGTCGTCCCACGTGGTTTGACCAAAAGGTTTTCCAACTTCTGCCGCTGATATACCGCTGTGACGCAGTGTATTTTTCTCTTATGGATCAGACTTTAGAAAAACTTCTATAAGAAAATAATTAGAAATTTTTAAATTTAGATTTGGCAACAAGGCACTTTGGCGTTAAGCCACGACAACTAACTGCCGGAGTACACCAGTCACTGAGAGTTACAGTCGGGCTCGGGCCAAGTGGGGTAGAGTGCGCGTAAGTTCCGTACGTGTGCTAGTGCTTAGGCACGACCGTTTTATTTTACATCTGTCGAACGAATATTTTAAAACGAATCTCGTAGCATAGCAAGCATTTCGTGCATATTTTTCTAAATATGATAAGCACTGACGGTTACAATAACGTGGATCAAGGTTTTGACGGCGGCTATATGGAACAAGAAGAGGAATGGGAGCGAGAGGGCCTTCTCGATCCGGCCTGGGAAAAACAACAAAAAAAGGTAAGAATAGTTACATATAACGCAGATACTACACAGCAACATTTGAGTAAAAGACGTTGAGTACAATCTTTTTTATCCTTATCACACATATATTCATGTTGGAATTGTAAACAAAAACGGCTGTGAAACTGTGAATATACCAACATAACCTCAACTGTTACCCTTCTGTTATAATTCTTTATTCAATCCATATCTCATTAACATTCTTATTTAAAAATATTGGAAGCAGGAATAAACTTTCATTAAAGATTTTACTCAAAACCTTGAGTGTAACATTATATCCTGAAACTATTTTTGGCACAGCTTGGCAAGAATCTTTTTGAACTGTTTCATAATAATACCGAAATTTTGTTAATAAAAATTTACTATAGGTATGAAATGGATCTAACAGCTAGCTAGTATAAGAATTCACTTGCAAATCATTTAGAATTTAAAAAAAAAACTAGAATATTCTTATTGATTATTGGTAGCTTGAATTGTTTAAATTATTGTTAATTATTAAATTAAATATAATCTTTAGTGTGTGAATATCTGGTTTTTTATTAATACTCATTATCATAAATCTGATCTTAATTAAATAATAAGATTTAAAATTTTGATTTTATTGGTTATCTGCAATGTTGCCAAATCAACAACTTTATTATGCAAAAATTTAATTTCTGGTTCTTTTTTGTAAGTACTTCAAATTTTATATGAAACCTAAGGACGGTTTAATTTTTGACCTTGTATTTGATTATAATTTAGGAATATTTTTAGGTGAAAAAAGATTCTGTCAGTGTTCCAAAAATAAATCTATTTTTCAATATGTGTGCTATAAAAGTGTAATATTAGAATGTTAACATTTTTATAAAAATATGACAATTTTAGTCAACCTCATTCTTGTTTTTGTGTAGGTAGATGAATTTATTTTGAATTTTTACTTTTTTTGACCTCGAGTTTTCGACGGATTTTTACGTTTTAAGGTCCCCTGAATCCGTTTTGACTATTTTCGCGATGATATTTGTATCTGTGTGTGTGTCTGTGTCCACCTTAACTCATGAACCGATACGCAGAAAAAAACCAAATTTTAAACTTAAGCTTTATTCCGGCGTCCAATGAACAAATTAAATTTTGGGCAAAGTCGGTACATCTGGGGGGGTACTTTATAGGTAGTCATTTTTATATTTTATGGAATATATCTCCTATTTACGTTTGGAGAAGAAAATTCTTCAAATAAAAGTTACTTCTAATATTATTATCTATAGTTTTTGTTCTATAAAAAATATTCCTAAAATGGTCCGTATTCGAGAAATTTGGCAAAATGTAAAAAAATATTTTTTTATAAAAATTGTTCAAATAAAAGTTGTTTGTAATATAATTCTCTATAATTTTTATTCCATACATAATTTCTCTAAAATGGACCGTATTCGAGATATTTGAGAAAATGTGTAAATTTCGAAATTTGAAAAAAACTCAAAAACGGATAAAGAAAAAAACATTAAATTTTAAACTTAAGTTTTATTTCGGCCTGACGTGAAATGATTAGATTTTGGACAAAGTCGGAACATCTGGGGGGGTACTTTATGGGAGGCCGTTTTTATATTTTATGGAATATATCTGTTATTTATGTTTGGAGAAAAAAATTGTTCAAATAAAAGTTACTTCTAATATTATTATCTATAATTTTTGTTTTATGTCAAAATTTCCTGAAATGGTCCGTATTCGAGAAATTTGACAAAATGTGCAAAATTCTGATTTTTATGAAAATTGTTGAACTAAAAGTTGTTTGTGATATCGATCTCTATAATTTTTGTTTATACATGATTTTTCTAAAATGGACCGTAATGGAAAAATTGGAAGAAGAGTGCTAAATTTAAATTTTTCAGTATTTTCACATTTTTAATGTAAATTATGTAAATATTTATTGCAACAAACAGCAACAAAAAAAGGTAAAATTTATTCAAATATAATTAATTTATGATCTGAACATTTCACTGTAACTTAAATATTAAAAATTAATGATACATGACAGATATTTGTAAACAAGACTAAACTAATTTTGTAATATGAATGTACCTAATCTGTGAATGTATTTAAAGATAAAAAACAGTAAACACTGTAAAATTATATTTATTTTTTATGGAAACAATAGCTATATAATTACTTATTACCATATTGAAGAAAATAAAACATAATTTGAAGATTATTGTGTTAGTTTTGATAATTTGACAAATATGTATAAATACCATTAATTTATTATTCTAAAACATTAAGATATTACTTATTTAGAGAATAATTAATTACTAATTACATTTTTTAGTTCGCTACTTAGATATTTTTAATATTTTTTTAGTGAAATCACAAATGACTTAAGTATGATTAAACTTTAAATAATGTATTGATATTATTCTTAAAACTCCAAATCATATTTTACAAATACATAAAACAATCTAGAAAATGATTATAATTCAGAAATTAATTAATTACTGCAGTACCATTGCTAGTTCTTTATATTTTTATTAGGAATTGTTTTCACTTAACCATATAAACAATCTTGATATTTAAAAAAATATTACTATTATAAACCTATTTATAAATTATTTTTTATTTCCGTTAAATTAGAAATAAGATATCTATTTTACTATTTCCAGTGTAATTATACCTACCTAACAAATTTATGAATGTTTTGTTTGTTCTTTTATTTCTATTATTATTAGAAGATAATATGCATATTAAGGAATCATCAAAATTTATTTTGAAAATAAGCATGTTTATTCAATAAATAACATTTAACATCAACTTTTATATAAATTAAAACTATATATAACCGACTTTACAATAACATTTCAATTCAAATTAAAAAAAAAAAGTGAAACAATTTCGATTTTTTTATTTTTTCTCTAATTCAAAATCTAAAATAGATTTTTATACTAGCTCGACAAATAATACAAATTTCTTCGATTTACCTGATAATTTTAAAGATCTGACAACGTTGTTAATATTCGAAAAACGAGATGAGCTGCACATGATGTGTGTTTGATTTAAGCGGCAGCTGCGCGAAGGTGTCTTTTCTTAGGTTTTTCGCGGGTAAGAGTGAGACGCCGCATTCGAGGCGTCGAATTTCTAGACGTCGTGACCAAAAATGGTTTCACTAGGCGATTGTACGTTAATCTGTAAACATCAGGAGAATTAAAATTCTGGTTTATTAAATTATTTTTGGTTTTACCTATATAACGAAAATTACAGATAATAAAAAATACGGTATTTTGAAGTGTTATACATTTCTTTAGTTATTAAAAAATATTAGAATTTTTATTGGATGTATACAGGGTGTCCCATAATGTAGAGCTCAGATAAACTATTGAAACATTGAAGGGTTGTGATCTCCATGGGCGTATCAAATAGTTTTTTCCTCAAAACCCAAAGGATTGTTTTGAAAATATTTTGTCGAGGACAAATTTAAAGAAAAATGCAATTTAAACATAAAATTTTATTTTACAAAAAATAAATTCTATTTTTTATTCACGTGATTTATAAAAAAACTAGCGGATCCGACAGACGTTGTCCTGTCTTAACTATGAATATTGATTTCGAATTCGTATAATTAACTAAAAAAATATTTCAGAAACAAAGTGTTTATTATTATATTTCACTGGTCTTTTCCAAATACTTGAAACACCCGGTAGTAGCTTCTTTGCGATATCTACGTGCCACAATTTTAACTAATGAATCACACTTTTTTGTTTGTTTCCCCATCGCCGCCAACATGCTATCAGAACACTTCTTTGTGTGATACGTGTCGCATTAATATATAAAAATATAAAATGTAATATAATTTTAAAACAAGTGAAAATTATTAAATATGGTTAATGGAAGAGAAATGAAAAAAAAAAAAGAGGAAACGTGAGGAAATATCTAGGAAAATTAGGATGTTGCATAAAACGAGGAAGCTAAAATCATCAGCATTATCCGATGATGATTCTTCGTTTTCATTTGTTACGTCAAAGAGTACTGTAAGTCGATTAAAAATTATATCAAATAATTTTTTTACAAATATTAAGTCGCTGGCTGAAATCGGTGCCCGAAAAACGTGGAGTTAACATTAATATAAATATTTATCAATTCGATGTCTTCAGATATAAAAATGACTTTATGCCGTTAAGGTTATATATTTATATTAAATCACTTATTTTATATAATACAAAAGAAATATGTATAAATAAATAATATCTTTATTTTCTTTTCAATGTTAATAAACTAGTTGCTGAGACAGGGTGTTTCAAGTATTTGGAAAAGACCAGTGAAATATAATAAATGGAACAAACGACTTACCTGTAAGGAAGTTAGTTCCATATTATATGAACGTCTTTTCCAAATACTTCACGCCCGCCCTCCACAAAAACCCTCAAAGCGATCAAAGACACAAAATCGTGTTCTGATAGCATGTTGGCGGAGATGGGGAAACAAACAAAAAAGTGTGATTCATTAGTTAAAATTGTGCTAAAAGCTACTACCGGGTGTTTCAAGTATTTGGAAAAGACGTTCATATAATATGGAACGAACTTCCTTACAGGTAAGTCGTTTGTTCCATTTATTCTAATGCTTTATGATATACAGCATTCTTTGTTTTTTTTTCTGGACAATAACAAAAACAACAAAAAAAGAATTAGCGAAATCGGTCCAGCTGTTCACGCGTGATACCGTGACCAAGGGAAATAGGGATTCATTTTTATATATATAGAAATTTTCTAATTTTCCACTTAATTTTCTTAATTTTTTCTTTCATAAGAACCTTCTCCTGACAATAACAAACACAACAAAAAAAGAATTAGCGAAATCGGTCCAGTTATTCACGCGTGATACCGTGACCAAGGGAAATAGGTATTCATTTTTGTATATATAGAAATTTTCTAATTTTCCACGCAATTTTCTTATTTTTTCTTTCATAAGCACCTTCTCCTGACAATAACAAACACAACAAAAAAAGAATTAGCGAAATCGGTCCAGTTATTCACGCGTGA